CCCCCAATCCCCGGCTGGTGACAGCTCCAAGCTCCATGGCAAATTAGCCCTTCTCACATTACAATTGCAGGAGACAGATTCCATTAGCGGTATCTGAAATTGAGTGGAGAGCTGCTCCGTTATCAGACTTGACTCATAAGCGCCGCTATTAATCAGAGCTATGATAGCATTTATATATTTCAAGCTATCTGCCGCCGCTGTGATATTCTGCTACAAAGGGTTGATGGGACTTAGGGAAGGGAACAATGGAGCTTTCTGGGAAAAGCAGAGTAAATCAAGAAAGTCTGTGACTTCCGCACATTCTGAAGGGATTGCGGTTTACATAAATTTTCTCCCAATTGGAGATTGAGCTCTTCCTCATCTTACACATGGGATTTAGTTGTCACTCAATGGTAACAGCTGTGAAAAGGTGAAGCGGCCCACCGCTCAGAATATTGCCTCCGCTTTTAAAGCAATTAACCCATGAACAGGAGGATACCTGGTGATATCAAAGGGATTAAGCCAGGCAGTGCATTATTAACATTTCCTTGAACTAATTCTAACTCTGACTAGCTGTCAGAAAAGACTCTTCAGTCTTTAAAAAAAAAAAAGAAGAGTTTTTTTTTTGCCCTGCTTCCCCCCCCTCCCTCCCTTCCAAACGAAGTAGAGTTACTGCAGCCTCATGTGCCTACTTTAGAGAGCCAAATGCAAATGAACAGATTTGGTAATGTCTTCAAACAGACTGAACTCGGCGCCGGTTTATTATGGGGACGAGTGGGAGAAAAAGAATAAAAATATACAAAAGATCAATTAGCCAGAGGCCATGGGAGATATTTTAAAAGCAAATTAGTGCCTGAGTACCTTCCTTTCTTCTCTCCCTCCTGAAAGTTTATAAGTACTTGTTACTAAGCACATCTGCTTCCCAAATGCCCGAGATCCTCCTGCTGTGCTACAACAGCGATAATCTGTGATCATCTGTAATCTGGAAAAACCCAAATGTGCCCCTGCAAAGAGATTCCTCCTTCCTCAAAGCCCAGTTTTTAACTTCCCACTCTGGCTGAGCGGGCACTGGCTCCTCTCTCATCCCTCCATTTTCCCCAAACCACGGCCACAAAAAAAGGGGTCAAACTGTTCAGGGATGACTCCTGCTCTGGCAAACCCATGTACCCCAAGGACATGGAGTATTTCCTCACTTAGCAGAGGCAGAAGACAACTTTTCCCAGCACCAGTTAGTTTTCAGGGAGCATCAGCCATGAATAAGGTCCCTCTGGGATGTCCATGAAGGTCACTCATCCTCCTGGCCCTTCTTAGGGACCTTCTCACAAGAGCTCCAGGACACACATCCTGGGAGCCAGAAGCTCAGAACCATCAGGATGGTCAAGTGCCATTTCCACAGCATTCTGATGGTTTCAAAATGATCAAATAATTTTGATGATTTCATTATGCAACACGACTAACGCTCCTTTTTGTTGGCAGTGGGAGAAGAGTTGGATCTGGTTTTTATTTTTATATACATCCACAGCGTGTTGTTTGGAAGGTTTAGAGGGCACGGAAATATATATATATTTATATAAAATACATATAAAAATATATATGTATGCATAATGTATTAGTCCAAAAGTTAACACAATACCCAGAACAGCATAATGAAGAAATGTGAACTGCTTAATTTAATGCAACATTTTCCCCCTTCTCCAAACCCCGTGTCCAACTCAGCCAGAACAAAGCTGGCAAAAACTTACTAGAAGCACTTGGGCAATGACACCACCTACTCTGCTACAGCCCCTGCAATAAAACAGTTTTGTATATTTAAATACCTCAAAACAGTCAAACTATGGGGAAAAAAAACCACTTCAAGCAGGGGAAAGCATCCTATTCCTCTTTGCAACAGAGAAAGCAAAGAATGCATCCCCTGTGCAGAAAATGACACTCTGGCAATCATATTATAAGAAGATAATTGGTTTACTTTGTAAACTTGCTATGCTTTGCCTCCCACAGTAAAACAAATAAATAGTTGTTTAAAGAAAACAATCCTACAGCCGCGCTCCTGCGTCCTAAAAACATAAAGCAGCTCCCCCCTCCTCCAAAGCAAAGATGAATTATTTGCCTCACTTACAAGCAGTCCGGGAAAACTCTTTGTAAATGCCATTTTACGATAATTACAGGCGGTTTATTAAGACTGTGCAGGGCGGGGGGAAGAAAAATCCATATTTGAGAACTAACTCAAAGGAGCGAGCGGCTCGCTCGGAAATAGCCTGGATCGCTGACAAAGGGGCTTTTTACACCAACGTGGCTCGACATAATTTTGCTTTAAGAGGAACAATCCAGGCTTAAAAAAATTATAATTAAAGGAATAATATGGTATACTGTAATATAATGAAATTAATAAACAAACATGCGGAGCATCCCGCCAGCCATCACCTGGCAGAGGAGGAATCTGTTTAAGGAATACATTCGATCCTAATCCCGCACGTGCCGTAACATCCCAAACGCCACCCAGCCGCGGAGGGAACCACTCTGTCCTTAAGCAGCAAAATTATCCTGACCTGCCAAGGAATAAACTCGGGAGATGACTCAAACAAAAAAAATCGATGGGGAAATAAAATAATAAATAAATAAATTAAAAAAAAAAATGGGGGGAGAGATTTACTGTCCGGGGATGCTGGAAAAACCCAGCGAGGGTAAACAGCAACCCTGCCCGGCTGGTGGGGAGAAAAGAAAGGTTTTAGAGGTTAAGTTCAGGTCAGACGACAAATGAAATTGTAACAACCCAACTGACATTGTATAATGTCTTCTTCACTCGATCAATAGGGCAGCGTCGGCCCCATTTCCATAGAGATGGCTTCCTCCCCGCTGAAGGGTGGCTATTGTTTGAGGAGGGAGATTTGCCACTTGAACCGTGCTGCTCCCGAAGGATGTGTACTTCATCAATTATTTGTGTTCCTAACATCTACATATTTTCATATTAACGTCCACGTTTCGCTCAGCAAGAGGAGCAGGTGCTGATTTTTCCGCCGGTACCTCGCAGGGGTCACCCCGTCAGCTGATTTTATTTAGAGGCAAAAATGAGGGGGGGATTTGACAGACCCATTTAGATTTGTGTGGACAAACAAGCCCAGTTAGAAACACACCACATCACCCACAGATAGTTATGGTTTTCATGCAGTGAACACTTTGTAATTTTTTTTTTTTAAAGTAGATAAAAAGGCAACAAAACCAATTTTTTTTGGCCAAATGAACGTCGTAAAAAATAAAGCAGCTTTAAGGTGCTTGAAAGGAAAATGTAATGTTGCAATTTGGACATAAAACTTTCCAAAAAAAATCAACCCTTGCCTGGCTGAATAATTGATTCTGTCACTATCTATGAAATAATTTCTGTAAGTCCTAACAGTTTTTATCATCTCTTGGTTCCAGGTTTCCCATTCCTTCGTGCAAATTTTAAATTTAACAGAAGCACTATCTTCCAAATCCAATTAAACAACAACAACAACAAAATTAAACCTTTAGAAGTGTAAAAGTTATTCCCAAAATAATTCCCAAATTTAGCCTTTCGTTCCTCTCCTGTATCCTCATTCCTGTGAAGCAACGATCGCATCATTTCATGTGCAACAAACTGGGCGGGAAAGGAACCCGTCTCGCTGCAGTCCCAACTAAAATCTGAGGCTGAGCTTCACAGTAACTGCAATAATGGGAACAGCCATCCTTAAAAAAGAAATCAGAAACCAAATATTAAAAACCTTCAGCAACTCCTCGCAGGAGTTTTTAACACAATCGAGTTGTGCTCTGACGCTGTGCCGGGCACTGTGCACGGGAGGGCAGCGCCACTTCCAGCTCCCCAAATACGCTGCAAAATACAGGATATTAAATTAAATAATGCTGACTTAATTACATATATTAAAAGCAATCACTTTAAATGCCTATGGAAATATTAAGGAATTACTTAAGCAACTCCATGAGGTGAACTTAGGAGCTGATGCTACGTGAAAGGTGATGCACAGAAAGCAACTCCTCTGCAGCAGAGGAAGAGGCACCGGGATTTGGGGGATTTTGGGACCGAAGTTTAAGTGAGCTCAGGCCTCTCAGGTTGTGCAGGATCTGGCCCCTCACCCCCCATTTACTCCTGCTCTCGCTCTCTGAGAAGGTTTCCCTGAGAGGCGACGCAGCTCTGGGGACAGGTGGGAGAAAAGGGCTTTTGTCAAAATAATCTCGGTGAGGAAGCGCCCCCCGTCTCATCCCGGAGCCCCCCATATCATTTGCAGCCTCAAAACGTGCCCTATTTTCCCTGCAAAAAGAACATCAGAAATTGTTTATATGGGTTGTGATAATCCTCTCAAATATGGGTCAGGCCGAGGTTAAGAGCAGCCAGAACTCGCACATCAAAGACGAGCGGGGTTAACAAACCACCTCCCCCCCACCCCCGACCACGTGCGCATCCCGATTGTTCCCTTTCCTCCCGAGGTTAGAGGTCCGGGGAGAAGGGATGGACTCGGGCATCTCCCAAACCCGCAGCCAGCAGGGAAAGGCAGGGATGCTCTCCCTGGTCCTTGGGTACCACCGGCAGGCAACTGCCCATCCGCCTCCGCCGGGAGCTGCAATTAAACCAAGTTCACGGTTTCCCGATAGGTGAAGCTCATCCTGTTAATTTAAACAGACCATCTGCATCTTTCGAGAACGACAAACTTCATTAGTTCTGGTTAGTTAAACCGAGCGGTGATTTGTGATAATGAGCCTCAACAACCTGTCACGTCTGTGGAAGGGAAAGGGCGCACTTTTTATTATTGCTATTATTATTATTTAACAGAAAAGAAGAGGGGGGAGAAAAAAAATAAAGGGGGACCTTTTGTGTGAGAAAGAAGGTCAAATTCGGATTAAATCGCTGTTAGGTTAATCAGAGGAACTAATTAGGGAGGGGTAGGGTTGGGGGGGGAAACACTAGTCCGAAGGCCAGAGGGGAACAGAGGGAGCCTTCGGAAACGTCCCGAGCCAGCCGACAAACAACCAAACACCCCGGATGACTTTACCTGAAAACCGTGTAAAAAAGCAAAGAGGCGGCAGCTGCTCCCAAGAAGCCGCAGAGGAGATTGACTCTGGAGGCGGGGGAGCCGCCGGGCAGGAGCCCCGTCGCCACTTTGGCCAGCAGGGTGAACAGGGGGTAGCCGGGAGGGTGGGCGACCTACGGACAAGACACCAGAGGGGTTGGAAAAGGGCTGGAATTCGACCAGATCAAAGCAGAGCAGCACGCCCCAGGATCCCCCCCCCCGAGACCCACCTTTTTGGTACCAGTTTCAAGCCCGTAAATATTTTTTCCTTTCCCTTTAGTGGATCTGGCTCCACGCCTCTCTCGCCCATAATAATGAGGCGGGGAGAAAAAGGAGGTGCCACGTTTCATTAGCGTGCCTTAAAGGGCTCCTTGTTTGGGTTCACAGTATATTAGGGTCATTTCAAAAGGCTGTTGTTTTTGTGGGTTGTTGGTTTTTTTTTGGGGGGTTGTTGTGTTTGTTTTTTGTTTGTTTGTTTTTTGGTTTGGGATTTTTTTTTTTTTTTTTAAAGCAGCTTCTCAACTATTTTATTGGTTAGCAAGTTGAAAGACCACACTGCTATCGGATTACCACCGCGCTGACAGTCCTAAGGTCTTGCCTAAAGGGATCATGCACCATAATAAAGTTTATTAAATAATAAAACTTATTAAAATTGTTAACCCGATTTATTTTATTCTCCCCAGCTTATACAAAATTTGGGTTGATAATAAGCCAGCTACTGTATATACAGTAAAGCCTTTGCTTTATAATTTAGTTTAATTGGATTTAAAACTTGAAGTAAATTGTCGCGTGCTGTACTTATAAGTTAGTAAAAACTGTGGTTTGAAAATAAATTAATCTACTTTACTCCATGCTTAATTAAACTTCCTTAATTCCTAAAACTGTTAATGAGAGCATTGATTAAACAATAAAACTAATACTTACTCCAAGCTCATATGCGGCTGTGATCAGCTCCCCTGTGAAAAAATAATGTAAAACCAATAATTACTATTAGGAAATGACACTCCTCCAAAGTTTTCAAAATCCAAATGCTTGCATTGGGGTTTTGCATTAATTTGACTGGATAAAACTGTAAATCTGTGGAGATTTAACAGCATGAAATTTTCTAAGAATATTTTCTCCCTCTGATGTCACTGCACAAAATATCTTTTGTGTGTTTTCGCGAGACTTTTGTGAACAGATAAGTGAAAATATAGGTAGGCTCGGGTAAAGAATGGCCTGAGATACTCAAAATACAGACATTTGTGTGTGTGTGTGTGTATTTTTAATTTAAAACCAACTGACTCGGTAACTTTCATGCACTACAGTTTACAACGCTTAAGCTGCATTGTCTCTTCCACAACCCAGATGTTTCTCATTAAAAAACAAAACAAAACAAAACAAAACAAACAGCTTTACAGTTTTAAAGAGGGAAAATATAATCACTAATCGTGGGAATCTGCATCCACATGTTTGGGAACGCTGCTCTGCCCTGATGCTAAAGCAATTCTGCTTTGCAAGTAACTCCTTTACCTGTCAGTGGATGCTGCATCCCATTAGAAACACCATTTAGATTTTGCATTTTGTTTGTATTTCACACCAGGACAAATAACTGCCACAAAAGACCCGAGTTAGCCTAATAATTATTAATACCTGGCATTTTTAGAGCAGTTGATACTGAAGCATTTTGCAGAGAACCCTCCCTAATGACGTACATTAAATACATTCAGTAGGCACAACACGTCCAGGGACGAACCAAGGGAGGACGAAATTAAAAAATTACGCCTGGTTTTCCTTCTTTCCCCTGAAATTTCATAATCCAATTTTGCAGAGCCCGATTTTACCAGTCCTGCTAATTTTGCAAGTGCCAAGGTCACAGCAGCTTTGTCCCATCGTTAGATGGGAAAGGTACAAACCAAGGGCACTGCTGGCTTTAAATGCTAAATTAGGAATATTTTACATTTCCGCACAGTTATGTCCTTACCACGCAATGCAAAGGAGGACATTGGTACAAATGGCACCTTTAAATGCTGACATGACAGTAAATGGTGCATTTTAAAAGGAAGATGCTGCTGGCATTGCTGCTGTTGGCTGGGATACTGCTCCCAAGCCAGGCATGGCTTCACCTTCATCAAAGTCCTTTTGGGATACGGCAACATGTGCATCTAAAATGGCTAAAGATTAAGATTAAACCCATGCACATCGCTGTGACATTGGTTCATATCACAGGCAAGAATAACCCCCAAAGCAACACAGCCACAAACCAACCACAAAGCTGAAAAAAAAAAAAAAAAAAAAAAAAAATACTGGTGGATGCCCCCGCCAAGGTTTGAAAGACAACAGCACAACTCTGCCTTGTAAGAATTAAGGAAATAAAAGTAACAAGACCTGCAAAAATAAGCTCCTGGGCTGCAGGCCTGTTGGATTCCACTGGGAAAGCCAGAAGGAAGACCCACTGCTTTGGATAAGGCTAATTCTCCATCTCCCACCCACATACCTGGGCATCACTTACAGCCTCCATGGGCTAGAAAAGTGAAGAGTACTAACATTAAAAAACCAAAACACACAAAGGAAGACTGCAGCATCCACAAACTTGATTGAAATGTATTTCTCATGAGAGAGAATGACCTCGGGCATCTTCAGATGCCAGCTCAAGTTGAAGGGTTTATTTCCTCCAACTCCAAGGGACCAGGACTTAGACCCCATGATCATTGCGGGTCCCTTCCAACTCAGGATACTCTGTGATTTCTGATGTAAATACATTTCTGGCTGTCCAGATTGATTCACTAATAAAGGTGTTCAGGCAACAGGCCAAATGCTGCCTGAAAACTGATTTATCCCCAGCAAGGTTGGAGCTGATGCTTGAAACACCACAGGGAATGTTTGGTTTTGGTGGCTTTTTTCCTTTTAACTTCATTTGAACCCTTTTTAAGCTGTTTTAACATCTGTGCATGTTTCTGAGTTATAATTCATTCCCTCATTTCTTTATTATAACAGTAAGTAACACCAGAGAGCTGCCAATGGAAATACCGATTGCCTTTGACACTTCTGGATTACTGCAAACTTCGGGAACAATTAAAAAATATACAGATAGCTCTTAAAAAAAAAAAAAAGAAAAAAGCAGGCTCCCTGCCTGAAAGCAGATCCAGCAAATCCTTAAGCAGGTCTTTACTCACACAAGTAGCTTCAGTGCTTTTGGTGGCACAAGTTTGAGCTCCGTGCTCAGGTGCGGGGCAACTTAATCCCCTGTGCAGAGACTTTCCAGGGGGATTCCAGCTGAAGCATCCCATGGGCTGCTCAAGCCATGAGAAACAGGGGAATAACCTCCAAAAAACTCCTAAGTGATGGGGTGGCTGCTGGCTGGGACAGGCACAAGGGGACAGCAGGGATAAGCCCATCTCTGTTCAGCCCCAGCAAGCACACACAAGCCAGGCAGTAGATTCAGGAGAAAATGCAAAAAAAGACAGACAGGGAGCGAGGACACCATCCCAAGAGATTTTTTTTCTAATATAATTCCCTCTAATGTGGGTTCTGGAAGCCTGTTAAAGCATCCAGTACCCCCAGGCCACTCCTGGAGCATCTCTCTGTGACACACACCGAGTTGGTGTCCTTGATACCTCTGACTCTTCCTGGCAGAGGAGCGATGCACATATATATATATATATGTGCACTTCTATACACACAGGTGCTGTGCTAGGAAGAACCTTTGGAAATGAGGGAAAGAGCAACCCCCCTCCTGCCTCCAAAATGGGATAAAATAACCACAGTAACCCAGGGAAAGTGGGGTCAACCCCTGTGCTCACCATATTTACTAGGATAATTCACATCAAGTAAAAAAAATAAATCCCAGCATCGATCCATCACCTCACTGGGAGAACCTGCATCCCTCTTGGTAAAGGGTGCTAATGGTTATTTGCACCCCGGAGGGAAAGCCCAAGCTGAAGGACAATTAAAAAACCAGGTTCCAAGGCTTTGCTCAGCATGGAGCACAGGGACCCTGCACATCCACAGACATGTATTTTCCATCAGGAAGAGCTTTAACAGACAAAATGGGAATAACTGCAAGTATATCAACCATCACATTATTAACTGATACACCCAGAAAGTGCAAAACCAGCCCTTTCAGTAGCGTGGGAGCAGAAGCAAAAGCTATCAGGGTACATGCTGGCCAGCCTTGCCAGTATTTCTCTCTCTCTCCACACATACTGAAGCTGTAAAATCTATGCAACCATTAAAAGCCCATTTATTTATAAGGAATTTCATGCACAGCTTGGATTTGAAACCAGCGATGGCCAGGAGGCACAGAGTCAAACAGACCCACTCAACGCTCTTCTGGGATACAAAAGAAAGAAAGATAGTATCCTGGACACTTGTTCCATCAGAAAAAAAATAAATTATCAGCACAGGGAGAGGGTCAGGGCAGTGGGGTGGCACCAGGGCACAGCCCCAGGGGGACCCGGAGCACTGACCCCACAGGGGGAGCCCCAGACAGTGCCCCAGTCCCGGGGGGGAGGGGGGAAAACACCCCAATACAGGGTGTCAGTGGTGCTGTGGGGCAAGTGCCCCCATGGGGAGGTTCAAACGCACCAAGCCCACTGGGGTGAGCCCCCCAGAGAGTGCCTGCACTGCACCAGTGACTGTGGGGTGTGTGAACTTGCGGGATGTGCAACCCTGTGGAGTGAGGAACCCCATGGGGTGACGACGACACAGCAGTTGCTATGGGGGAGCAACCCTATGGGATGACAGCAACACTATGGAGTTAGAAACCCTACAGAATGACAGCAACCCGATGAGGGTGACAGCAATGCCCCAGTCCCTACGGGGAGAAAGCCCTTTTGAGGTGACAGGAACCCTCTGGGTGTGACAGCAACACACCAGCCCCCCTGGAGCAAGGAACCCTATGGGGCGACAACAATCCTATAGGGTGACAGCAATGCACCAGTCACTATGGGGGAGAAACCCTATGGGGTGACAGCAACCCTATGGAGGTGACAGCAATGCACCAGCCCCTCTGGAGTGAGCAACCCCATGGGGTAACAGCAACCCTGTGGCATGACAGTGGTGCCCCAGCCTCAATAGGATGAGCATTCCTATGGGATGACAGTAACTCTATGGGGTGACAGCAGTGCACCAGCCCCCCTGGGGTGAGCAACGCTATGGGGCAACAGAAAACTTATGGGGAGACAACAACCCTATAGGGTAGCAGCAACTGGTGACAGCAACCCTATAGGATGAGCAACTCTATGGTGGGACAGCAACCCTGTTGAGTGTGACAACAACTCACCAGTCCCTCTGAAGTGAGGAACCCCATGGGGTGACAACAATGCACCAGCCCCGAGGGGCTGAGAGCAACCCTATGGGGTGACAATGATGCCTTATAGGATGAGCACCCCTATGGGGTGACAGCTACCCCGTGGGGTGACAACAATGCACGAGCCCCTGTAGGATAAGCATCCCTATGGGGCGACAGCAAGCCTATGGGGTGACAGCAACCCCACGGGGTGACACTGATGCACCAGTCTCTATGGCGTGACAGAAATCCTACGGGGTGACAGCGATGTCCCAGCCCTGATGGCTCAACCCCTAAAGGCTCAACCTCCCACCCCGCCCCACGAAGGCTGACCGAAGGCGACCAAGCCCCTACGTGGCGAGGGTCCCCAGGGCGCCACCTCCCCGTGGGGTGACCCCCCGCCCCGGCCCCAGGGGCTGCCCCGCCGCCCTGGCTACGTTACCCGCATCCCCGCCGGGCAGGGCGGGCGGCAGCGTGGCCGCGTACAGAGCGGCCACGGCAGTGCCCAGTGCCCCGGCGGCTCCTCCCGCCCCGATCCCGGTCCTGGTCCCGGTCCCGATCCCGATCCCGGTCCCGGTCCCGGCCCCCGTTCCCATGTGCGCCGCCACCTTCCGGGTTCGGCCGGGCCGTGCCACTCCACCGCCCCGCGGGGGGGGGAGAGAGGGGGGAACATCCCCGTGCCGCTCGCCTCCCCGCTCCCTCCGGGCCTCTTTCCGGGAGCTCCCGTTATCCAAAAGGCTCTGATAGGAACAGGGAGAGCCGCGAGTGCGCCGAGGCAATTCAGCGCGGCCGCCCGTCCTCTTTCTTCACCCCCCTCCTCGCACGGAGGAGTTGGTACAGCCCAGGAGGGCTATTGCGGCCGAGCGGCTGGGCGAGACCACCGCGCTTTCGGGTGGGGGGTGAGGGGGGGAGGCGGGGCGAAACCACTGGGAGAGGCTGGATGTGGTGGGGAGGCGAGTCCTGCCCCTCCTGCCGTCCCGGGATCGTCCTTCCAGCGAAAATATATGTTTAGGGATCAGCACTTTCTGCCCGCTCTCAGCCACGCCAAACCCCTCCTGTGCTGCTGCAGCTGGTACCGGTGGGTGCTGGGTGCAAGACCCAGCCCGTGGACATCCCCCCCCCAACCCCACCCCAAACCCCAATGTGCCAGTGCAATGGTAATAAAGATTTTAACCCCTAAATTGGGGTTTCCTTCGCCGGCACGAGATGCTGGTGAGGGAAAAGATTGGAGGTGTCAGCGCACGGAATATTAAAAGCAGCGATTCCCGCTGCGGGAGTAGTTAAGGAAGGCAAATAGCATCCCGAGACCTATCGATAGAGGACTAAAACACATCCGTGGAAATCATTATGGGATTGTACAAAAGAGCGGCGAGGCCATACCTGGAGAATTGAGGCAGATTAAAGAGAGGCTTTTGGATACAAATGAAAAAAAGGTATAGAAGAGGGTAACGAGGATAATAAACAGCCTCGTGGATTAGATCTAAGTGGAGACGTTAGAAAATTAGGTTTGCATTTATTAGGGAAAAAAAAAAAAGAGCAGGATTAAAGGTTGACATGACTGAGAAAATACACACATAGTGTTCTGGGGACTGGAGAAGCTGCTGCTGAAGAGCCCTTCTGAAACAGCAGCACAAACCTCCCCCAAAAAAGACATAATCTGAAGCCAAAAAAGGCATTGAGGGAGTTCTGGGGTCCTGTTGGAGTGAGTCCAGAAGAGGTGATCAGAGGGATGGAACACCTTTCCTACAGGGAAAAGCTGAGAGAATTGGGATTGTTTAGCCTGGAAAGGAAAAGGCTTTGGGGTTCCCAAAGGGAGCCAAATAGAAAGATGGAGAGGGACTGTTTGAAAAAGCATGGAGTGACAAGACAAGGGGGAATGGCTTCACACTGGCAGAGGGCAGGGTTAGATTGGGTACTAGAAAGAAATTCTTCCCTATGAGATTGGTGAGGCCCTGGCACAGGTTGCCCAGAGAAGCTGTGACTGCCCCATCCCTGGAAGTGACCAAGGCCAGGCTGGACAGGGCTTGGAGCAACTTGGGATAGTAGAAGGTGTCCCTGCCCGTGGCAGGGGGTGGGACTGAATGGTCTTTGAGGTCCCCTCGAACCCAAACTGTCTATGATTCTATGAATTTAGGGAAGGTCTTCTCACACAGTCCAGAGAAGACAAAAGAAGCTGAAGTTTGACCCGCTCAAAAGTTATTGGGGTTGCTGGAAGGAACCAGTGTTTGAGGGTGTAAACACAGGCTGAGTAACAGCTGGGCCCACGTGGCTGCCCTCCTTCCACCCAGAAGGCCGAGTGAGCCTCAATGCACTCAACTTGCTGGCAGGTCTCTGCCAGTTGTTGGCTGAGGTTCATCGGGGAGAAGAAAAAGATAGGTTGCAATCCTCCATTGCCAGCCATTGTCACTATGGAAATGAATTGTTCCCGCGCCCGTTGGGGCTCCTAAAATGTAATTTTAGCAGCGAAGTGCGCAGCCTGTGTGTGAAAGCAGGCTGGTGGCGAAGCTCTTTATCCGGAGCGCGGCTTTTTTCTTCGCGGTATTTTTCTTTCTTTGTGTTCCCCTCGGAAAAGGCATCCAAAGACAAATGTTCACCGTGGCTGATTACAATTATATTGATGGGGGAGGCGGCAATTTGCAGGCGAATATCGAATGGCTGGTAATAACATGGTGGGGACAAACTGTTCTTTAATTGTCCTGCAAGTTGTTTCATATCTTTGTCATGCAGAAGCTGGAACTTTTAGGGTGCCAGTGACAAAGTACTTTGCTGTAGTGTGGTAGGGCAGGCTCACAGCAGCCTTTATCTTACTGAATAACCACCACCGTTTCAAAGGCCGGGATTACAGACACACTTTATGTTGAAAAGAGCATTTACGTTTTTCTTCTGTAAACAGAAATCTATTAATTCGTGGGATTTGACTCCCGTTTCTTCACCAGCCGTGACCCAGGGGTCCAACAAAGACAAGAAGGACACGCAACCCCTTTTTGTCTTGTTTTGTTAGAGATAGGTATGGCATTTTTTGGCTCATTTTCGTCCATGCTCTGGAAGTTGAGAGTTGTCCAAACCCAAGTTAGATTCACCTCGCTGCAGAGCAACCCTCCAGGAGGTCTCAAAGTTTCGAGCATGGGCTCAACAGCAACAACTTAAAAAAAAATTACTTAAAAAAAAACAACACAGAGGCAAGTTGAAAGCATGTGAAAGATGGCCTTGTGCTACACATAGTGATTTATTTTTTAAAAAATCCCTGGAACTTGTAGCACGAGAGCATACTCTAGTGGCAACTGAGCAAAGAAAGTGCTTCTGGTTTGTGCGGTGTCTTGATGATGATCCACCTCCCTCCCACCTTTCCTCGGGAGGTTTTTCCTCTCCTATCTCCTCCAGCTCCACGCTCCGTGCTCATCCCGACAGGAAATACCCAAGGCAGGCAGAGAAAATAAACAGGAACTGCTAAAGTAATTTTAAAAACACAGCTTGGGAACATATCTCCCCAAAATGACTGTGTACTTAGAGAGTTGTCTTTTTACCAGGCTCTGTTGCAGATTTTCTCCTGAGAGACGCAGTTTAGAGGAGGCAGGAGATAGGCAAAGGGAGAATAATACTTAAAGCAAATTCTATTCACCCATGGCAGTGTCATTACAAACTTGAATGAGCACAGTTATTGCAAATAAATAAAAACAATAGACCAGAACCAGTTTTACATAAGAAAATACTGAAATACTGTTCAATTAGTCCTAAGCTTTAGTTAAACCTTTTCTTTTGCCCATCAGGTGATAAGGTTAATACAGAAAGCACTCAACTGCTGTACTTGTGTAACAACAGTCAGCACCCATTTAATGAACTTACACGTACACACGTTTAGCAAAGCTTCAATATTGTCAGCGCTGGGCTGGCAGGGAATTTTAATGGCAAAGTAGCCAGCCTGGTCTTCATTCTAAACAATATCCCTGTGTAAGGAAAGCAGGTCCTGGTGGGGACCACTAACAATACAAATAAGCACCGCTTCTATATTTAAACAAGGAGTTTGGCAGTGTTTCCACTCACGATATCTGGCCGCCCGCAAGGCACCAAAAGGAAGGTTACGCTGCTTTTATTTGTTCTTAAGTGGCTTGAATAAGCTGCTTTTTATGACTTCTTAGGGGTTTTGTCGAGTGGGGGGGACAAGGCCAGGCTGCTATCCCACGTTTTCAGCAACACGGCTGCAGTGGGCATGGTGCAGAGGGAGCTTCCAAGTGGGATAAAGTGGAATAAAAGCACACCTGGTCCAGTGATCATCCCACTGTCCTTGACCGTGAGGGTCTCCCTGCCCCATCCTGCAAAAGCACGTGTTCAAGATTGGTCCAGGATGGGCCACCAAGGACGTGCTGGAATGTGGCTGGTCACCCAAAGCATGTGGGGACCTCTGTGCCTGGATACACACACGCTCCTTGGGTTCTCCCTGGCCACTTAAGGGACTTGGATTCATGCAACTGCGATACCCCCAGTGCCTTGTGAGCCCCTCAAAATTCAAAAGGAAGGTAAAGGTCTCCCAGATGGGAAGAGGACCCAGCAGTGGTTGTAGTCAGAGTTCTGGGAGAACGTGAGGGCTCAGTTCCATGGGAAAAGAGACTTGGTTCCAGTGCTCTCAGCACAGCTGGTTCATTGATTCAAAAATCAGTTTCATTTTATTTCCCAAACAGGAAAATAGATTGGACTCATTTCCCCACGCAGATCTTGTTTCCCACGATTTTGCATCTTTGTCAGAGAGGCTTTATTGTCTTTTTGCAGACCCCCAGTCTCTGCCTCCACTGGTCTCAGTGGCCTCCCAGCTGATTTTCTGACACACTGAGCAGTCACAGATCCCATTTGTCTCAGCTGGTTTTCCCAGAACTCTGACAATCATCTCTATGTTTTCACACCTGATTTCCTTAAACTAATATTATTTGTTTGCCCACGTGCCTTATTGGCAGACTCGGGTCTGGTGTCTGATTTGCACAGTGACTCCAACATCACCTCAAAGACCATCTTCTCCCAGTGCAGCTGCTGCACCACATGAGGGCCCTCTTCCCTTCATGCCTGGACTGCTCAATTACTCTGTGATTGGTTTTTGCAAAAAGGGAACACTTTTCCCCAAATTTATAAACTTAAAAATGCTTTTCATCCTTCTTCTAATTACAGGTGTAGGACATCAACTGCCATCTCACACCTCGGTGGCCAAACTCACAGCCTGGCCCAAGAAATGCCCACGCACAGGATGTGGTTGAAGATCTGCAACAGCAGTTTAGGGGTCTCCAGGGTTTCAAACTCTCATTTCTTCACCTATGTTCACGGGTCCAAAACTCATTTAGGCAAGAATGTTTTTCACATTCCATCAGCCCTCTCTGTTTCATTCCCATTTATTAAGCTGTGATCAGATTTATTAAGCTGTATCAGCTGAGGCTCATGCCCAGGGAATTTGTAGAAAGTATGTCAACAAGGACAAGAGCTGCACCCTCCAAAATTGCTCTCTTTACCTGGCTTAAGCTGTGTTTTCCTACCTGGCCCTGCTGTATCTTCATTGTGTTCATCCACTGAAAAAATCCCTGGTGCTGCTGTTGGTGTCTAAGCTACCACAGTTTTT